AATAAAATTCAAATGGAACTATGATCCATCAGTAGAAGTATCTGAAAGAGTTGCTTAAATGGAAAACTCCAAAGAACTTGACACTCGTATAGCAACAGCCACAAAATTGGATATAGATAAACATGGTTCATCTGTTGACCAGAAGATGTATAGGGGAATCATTGGCTCTCTGTTATATCTCACTGCGAGTAGACCTGACATTTTTTTTATTGTAAGCCTTTGTGCTAGATTTCAGGCAAATCCAAAGGAGTCTCACTTGACTACTGTCAAGAGGATCTTGAGATACCTAAAAGGCATCACTGATATCTGCCTATGGTATCCAAAAGGTAGTAATTTCAACTTAGTGGGATATGTTGATGCTAATTATGCATGTTTTCTTGTGGATAGAAAGAGCACTTTAGGTATGGAACACTTTCTTGGCTCATGTCTTGTGTCTTGGGCCACCAAAAAGCATACTTTTGTGGCCTTGTCTACTGCAGAAGCTGAGTATGTAGCTGCTGCCTCATGTTGTGCTCAATTATTGTGGATCAAACAGCAATTAATGGACTTTGGAATTGACGTAGATTGTATCCCCATCTTTTGTGATAACACCAGTGCAATTAGTATGACCAAGAACCCAGTTCATCACAAAAGAACTAAGCACATAGATGTTAGGCATCACTTTTTGAGGAACAACTATGAGAAAGGTTTGATTACTGTGGAATTTTGTGCTACTAACAAGCAAATGGCTGACATCTTCACAAAAGCCCTAAGTAGATATTTCTTTGAAAGGAACGGGTTAGAATTAAGGATGATTAAGATCACTTAAAAGGAACCAGTTCTAACTCAATAATTGGTTAGATAATTTGTGAATTTTGCAAATAATTAGATTAGATTTTGCTCAGTCTCATACTTTCACTAGTATACTCTTGTGCCATGTGCTAAAATATTTCATTAATCTCTAATTATATTATCTTTATTTTCTTAGAAAAATTAGACTTACACAAGAGAATTCTCAGTAAAGAACCTGGTTCATCAAGATTACATGGTATGTACTCTCCATTCCGCATATTTTGAAATAATTGTATTTGTGTCATGATAAAAAAAAAGAGTCGCATTTAATCCCAATCTCCCTCAAGTCTATCTGTTAAACCAGTTTCACCGACAAAGAGTCCCACGGGCCATAATTTCCTAGATTCTAGGGAAGAGTCCAACGTCCATTCAAACTGACTTTCCCAGTTTGATTAGACTTCTGAACATCAAAAAGCAACTGTTACCCACTCCAACTCTCCCTATTTAAATTGATTAGGCCTTAACCATTTCTCCATTTCTAATTTTCCAGCCGCCAAAAATTCTTTCTATCTTCTCTCATCTCTTATACACATACACATCTCCTCTATGCATATCAATGGCAAACCCATATGAAAACCCTTCTTCACCAGCCAAAGAATCATCACCTACACCTTCAACCACACCTATCTCTAAGAAACGACATTTCAAGATGCTTGCTCATAAGACAGTCACTGGCAGTGAACAAATCAAGAAAATAAATGAGAAATTGAAAGCAAGCCAAGAAGAAGAACCTTTCAAGTATGAAACGGAGGGAGAAGAAACTGTTTCATCTAAAATAGACAGGTAACTTCTGGTCTAAATATTGCTTCAATCTTTCAAGTCTGCAACTGAGGGAGAAAAAACTATTTCATGTAAAACAGACAGGTAAATTCTGGTCTAAATATTGCTTCTGAGGTCATTTCTGAAGTTGCTGAGAATTTGGAGAACAGATTTGGTTGGTACGATCGCTGGGATAGAAATTAATGTAGTCTAGTATAGTTGGTGGTAAAAATAAAAAGAAAAAAGAAAAAGAGAGTGAGGGTGTTCAAGGAGATGTAAGGGGAAAGGGAAAATGAGTGGTTGAACCTTCACCTACTCCTGTTGGGTTGACTGAGGAAACAAGGGTAATGGCGTTATGGAGTGAGGAAGTAGTTAAGGAGGAAAAAAGTTGGAGAGAAGAAGGAGGTAGTGGATCTGGTAGGCACAGAAGAAGAGAAAGGTTGCCTCTTCTATCCTTGTAGAGACTCCTCCTATAAAAGAAAGAGCTACAAGGAGTCATAAGAAGCAGAGTGAGGCTTAACTTGAAAGAGACTTAGAAGAGAGTAAAAGAAAAGCTGTTGCAAAAGGAAAGAAGAAAGTGAGTGAACCTGTTGAGGAAATTGAGATTGAGGAGATGGACTTGGTCCTTCATGATCAGGACGAGGAAAATGAGGTGGAAGTTGTGACTCCAAAAGCAAAGAAAAGAAAGACTTCCAAAAAGAAGTCTCCTTCAAAGCCTGTTGATGCATAGCCTTCTACCTTAGCAAAAAGAACCAGGTCTGCCAGGTAATCTAGGAAAGTGCAAGCAGTAGAAGAACAAAAAAGTGAATAAGAAGAGGAAACTAATGAGGAACAGGACAAATTGGGGAAGTTTGGGAAGCGAATAATCTTGAAAGGTAGACTCCTCAGGGACTTGGAGGAGGAAGGAATGGTGACGCTGCTGGAGAAGCTTGAACTTCAGGGATGGAAGGACATGATCCTTCAGATGGAAGGAAGACTAGCCAGAGCTGAGATTGTGGAGTTTATGGCTAACTGTTAAATCAAGAATGGCAAGGTCACCAGTGTAGTAAAAGGGGTGACTGTGAGCTTTGACGACAAGGAACTGGGAGTAATTCTAGGGGTACCTGCTGAAGGATACAATGACTATAAAAAGCTGAAATGGCCAAGCCTAGAAAACCTTCCCACCTCCCTTGCCATTACAAGAAAATTTGCTGATAATGAGTTAGAGCTACAGCCAAAGGCTGTGTACAAACGTGAGATGAAGCCTACCCACAAGTTGCTCGTCGAATTTGTCAACAAGGTTGTGTTTCCTAGGTAGGAAAGAAGTCACATTGCCACCTTCATGGACTTAGTCCTTATGGAGTACCTGGATAGAGGGAGGCAGATTAATTAGCCGGGGTTTATCATCCAGCTCCTTGATAGGGTACTAATTGGCACCAAAACGCATGTCGTACCCTATGGATTAATTCTAACTGTTTTGCTTGCTCACTTCAATATTCCCCTCAAGAAATGGGATGTTAGCACAAGCAAAGATCACTTTGGGGCCAACACTTTCACTGCATATGACTATGAAGTTCATACTGCTCCCAAAGAACATGGTTCATCTAAGATGGTGCCTGTGAACAGAAAAGTGAGAGCCTTGGTGCAGGAGAGTGGGGCTAAGGATGCTGAGATTGAGAGGTTGAAGAAGAGGGTGGCTGAAGTAGAAACTGAGAGGGATGCTCTCAGAACTGAGCTTGCAAAGGAAAAGGAGAAGAATGAAAGCATCCTTCATGACATGTTAAAGCTGCTTCAGGCCATAAATCAAGAACCCGGTCCTTCCCAGCCTTGAAACCTTCCTAGCCTAGTTAGAAAACAGTGACCCGGATGGGATTTTTTTTGTCTTTTTGCTCATGATGTAGTACCTTTATTTCCTTCTATGCTTTGTGGATGACTCTTATCAATGATAATCAACTGTTTTTGCTCTAATTATTTGTTGATGCTTCTTATGGCTAATATCCTTAGATTGATAAGTGATACTTGACTCCATGATTGCATTTGAAGCAGCTTAAATGGCCATGAGTAAGATTTGCTAAAATCTGGCTATCTAACATAATTATGCAACTTTTCGATGATGCCAAAAGGAGGAAGATAGGTTGTGCTTTTACTTTGGACTGTGATGTTTATAATCTAATGAACCTGGTCCTTGATGATTTGTGACTTTAAAATGAAAAGTGTTCTAACATTGTGTTGATATTGAAGCTGAATTGAAACAGGTTTCATGCTTATGAAAAGCACTCAATTTGTCATCATTTAAAAAGGGGGAATTTGTTGGCCTGAGTAAGTTGTTTTGATGATTGACAAAGAAACACACGCATGAACCAGGTCCATACACAGTGTACACAGACACGGGCAGATTCAAGTACAAGGCATGCATGTGAAGGAGATAATCTTAAGTAGGACTCCTTACTCGAAGAGAACTCTATCCTAGCTAAGGAAGTAGTTAGAAGTTGAAGATAACTAGAACTCTTCCACCATGGAAGAGTATAGCATTAGAACTCTAGTTATTTCCTATTCTACTAACTCTATATATATAAGTTCGTTCTCCTTTACATGTGATGCACAAACGCTGAAGTTAAGCAAGAATTGAGAATAAAATAGCAAGGCATTTTGCAAGCGATTCCTGTGTGATTCAAGTGTGCGATCCTGAAGCTACATGAACCAGATAGAAGAACCAGTTCCAAGTGTCTGTCTTTTATTCTAGTTTCATTGTAGTAGGGCTTTTGAGTTGTATCTTTTAGCTTTCTCTAGAAGCATTTGTACTAGGTACTCTGAGTGTATTGTTCAAGTTAGAGTTAACTTGATATTGTCGCAACAACCTGAGGCTGGATGCCACAAAGGGTTAGAGGTAATCCTTAGGTTTACAAGAGTTTTGTAAATGTTGTTTTTGGCTCACTGATTTAGTGAAATGTTGGGAAAAATCCTACTGGGTAGTAGGTCGTGATTTTTTCACCTTTTGAGCCGGGTATTTTTCACGTAAATATACTTGTGTTCTTTACTTTCTGCATTATTAATTCTGCAACTGTAGTGTAAGGAATACATAAAAGAACCAGGTCCTATAATCGAGTGCACGCGAAAATTGAACATCGCACAAATCACCCTTTTGTGTGGTATTGAAATATAAAACATGGTGACATGAGGGTAACTGCCCCATTTCTTCTTTTCATCTTGTGTTATTTTAATGTAGTTTGGCGTCAAGAGAATGAGACGACGTGACACCAAACAGAAATATGTGGCATGATCATAAATTCCGATTTTTTGAAATGGAGGAATAAAACGAAGAAATATGTCAATTTATATGTGGTGGGGAAAGAAAATCTAGTACTAATACGATCAGTCACTTACGAAACGACAACTCATTACACATCTTCTTGTTATATATATTTCTTCAAACCAACAAGTATTTCCCTACCATAGATTTTTAAAATGGACTGGTACAATCTTTGCGTCCAAATCAGTGCCTCATCATTTCCCCTGCCCGGAAAAGGAAAAGAGAAAAGAAGAAGACTCGAGGTAGGTAGTCTTGTACTAGCCTATTCTTCTGGCAACTACTCAAGCCAATGCACTTAAATCTGCCTGTAAATTTCTGCCTTTTGGATTATAAGTTATAATGAAGGCAATGACATCTTTGATATTAAAATGGATTTAATTAGTTATATTAACAGTGTATGGTTTTTTCATACTAGTAGTGTAACTTAACTTTTTTATACCAAGTGAGTTACCACTTTATCACCAACTTATTTCAAGTGATGATTATCGTAGAAATTCACATATTACCTTTTAAGTTATCTTATTTTATAAATATTTTTTATAATATCAATTATAAAATTTAAATTCTATTAAAATCGGAAAATCTTTGTAGTGCGAAGAGTGTCACTTCTTTAATTTGTCTTTTCAAATTTAATTTGAAACATTGTACATGTGAAAAATTGGCTTCTAGCCCGTTTGGCCAAACTTTTAAAATCAATTTATTTTAAAAAGTAATTTTCTCAAAAGTATTTTTCGGTTTGTGTTTGGCTAATTAAATTGAAAAGTACGTTTGAGCAGCAATAAGTGTTCGGCCAAACTTTTAAAAAGTGATTCTAAGTGTATTTTTCTCAAAAATACAAAAATACTTTTGGGGAGAAATTATTTTTTCTGCTTCTACTTGAAATCACTTTTCTTTCTAAAAGCTTGGTCAAACACCTTAACTTTGTGGGGGAAAAAAGCATTTTGGCAACAAAAAAAAGCATTTTTCGCCAGAGAAAAGCTTGGTTAAACGGGCTAAAATAGTTAGGCACCATAATCTATATGAACCATTAATTAAGACTCATGCACCAAGAGTTGATTCAGCTTATTACTGTGTAACGCATAGAAATTAACTACGTAATTACCCCGAATAGAAACTAAACTAATAGCTTGTTTGGCCAAACTTCTCAGCATATCAAAAGTGCTTTTTTTTTTCAAAAAAGTGCTTTTTTCTCAATTTAAGGTGTTTGGCCAAGCTTTTTTTTGAAAAAAAAAATGCTTTTGGCTAGAAGCAGAAGCAGTTTTGAAGAAGTAGAAAAAAATAGTTTCTCCCCAAAAGCAGAAGCAAAAGCAGTTTTGACTTTTTTTCTTACCAAAAATATTCTTTGTAAAATATTATATATACCAAAATAACCTTACTTAGTTTAAACTATTAAGTAATATAAAATACCTTTTGGGATGAACTTCCATATTTATTGGATGATTTTTGATATATTTAAATTATCTTGAAAGAATAAAGTACTTTTTCAATTTTATTTTTATATTTTACTTAAATAAAATAAAAAACTTAATTATTATCTTTAATAATAAAAATTTATAATTATTTATCTACTTATATAATATTAACTATTAAGCAAATCTTTTTATGTCCTTATTTGTAATTTGACACATAAAAGCACTTTTTGAAAAGCTTGGCCAAATACAAATTATTGTTCAAAAATATTTTTCAAATTGATTAGTCAAACACAAACTGTTTTTCTCTAAAATTACTTTTTTGAAAAGCATTTTTAAAAAAAATACTTCTCAAAATAAGCTGATTTTTTCAGCTTGGCCATACAGGCTCTAAGGCATCATGCATTTAGGCTATAGGACTCACCTAACACCACTACTATACAAGGGACAGTGACGCGCCATAATTGTAAGATTTGCGTCTTATAATTCTTTTTGTTGGAATATGATTTAGCCAAAACCCTGAGCATGAATGAGAAGGAAAGGTTGTAGAAGCATATACGTGCACAACATTAAAACGTTGGCCTTACAAGTATTTTAATCACCGCAAGTATATGCTGTTTGTGTAGCTTGTGATAGCATATGCTTGAAATTGAGAGGTAGTTTCCTAAGAGAATGTATCTCTCAGCCCCATGTGTGTGCGTACAAATTTTTGTCCTTGTTTTTTCATTTGTCCACGCCACTCAGATTTTCATAAGCGATATTTACGTATGAAGAAGTGAAAAATTGAATAAATTATTATAACGCTCATTTTTTATATTTATATCCGATAATTTATTTTTTTTATTATTTATATATACATATTTAATAAAAATCTTCAACGTGACACCGGATGGAACGAAGTAGATAGCCCCTGCTCAAAAGTTTTACTGGATTTAATTTATATGCAATGAGCAGCTTTTTTACACTAACAAGATATTTTAATCTATGATTATAATATGTTATTATTATTTTTATTAGTTATTACATAGATACTTATCATAAGATTCTTTTTGTAATTACATTATGACGAATATAATAGTGTATACATTTTTTACCCTTGTCAACGTGCATTGAACATAATCGCAACTTTTGTATCTCATCAAAAGAAAATATGCATAAAAGTATCTCCTCCCACCACATGCACATCCACAGTTAATTAGTTAACTAAGAAATGCTAAATCTTCCTAATGCATTACATATTTGTTGGATAAATTCACTACTGTTTTAAATTTAATTTCATTAGTTCTCAAACACTCCAAAGGTCTATTTCAAGTGACAAAGTGAACCAACTTCTTTTGTCTTCTGTTCTTTATTGACTTTGGCGCAATCTTCTTTAGATCGACTTAATTAATCTTCAACCGCCTTCTTTATGTTAAAACTTAAAAAAGTTCAATTAGGACTCCTATGTTAACTTTGACGTTGTACTTATCGTAAAGTAGATAGAGGGCAGTGTTGCTATCGATCGGAATCCAAAACCTAAATGTAGTCTTTTTGGACTCAAGAGACACGAATACGTTATAAAAAATAACTGGATACCATTTTATATATAGCACGGTTATTTATCGCGCTTTACTTTAACGACAGTTTTGAACTACAAATGTATAGCGCGGTGAATAACCGCGCTATATTTGAACTATAAAGGTATAGTATAGCGCCTTATATATGCGCGCTATACCTATATAAAAAATCGTGGCTTCTCCTTCGCCAACCAGACGCGAACCAGCAACCCCTTCCCCCCCCCCCCCC